CTGGCCTGCTGTGCCCAGTTGGTAAACCATCCTTGATGGCTCCAACACCTGTTCTCTGATGAGATTCAGAGCTAGGATTCCCAAATCCTCCCAGTACTTATTTAATCAGATTTGTTCCCATTTATGTTACCCAGCTGGTATACGAGAAGGCACATTCCTACTCATTTGGGGGAGGCTAGTAGCCTGACCCCCCCACCTCCAACCCTTTCGCCAAGCTAGCTAACACATCCCAGACCACTGAACACACAGGGACGAAACTGATGATGTCAGCCCTGAACAACTCCCGGTAAGACAAAAATCAAGATAACTCACAACTCAAAAATTAGGAAAAGGAGGTTATTGGTAATTACTGTATTTGAAATTGCTAAATACACTATTCCTTAATGAAAAACTAATCTAAATATTACACTACAGTAATGTTCGCTAACATAATTAATGGTGGTTCTCTTATCCCAGGCTTAACACATTGGGCACCAATTAGAATCCATTAAAATAGTCCATCCCATGGATTGATCATCCATGTCCACTTCAAATGATAATACGTCATTGAAACTGAAGGTATACTTTTTTATGTTTTCCCTCCAAAATATTCATTCAGAAATTCTATTTACTATACCACCAGCAAATGCCACAAAATTTAAAATTACACAATCTGCTCGTTTTTTTTGTACTTTCCATGTGTGGGGAATTTCAATTAACTTTATAAATTAGTCTGTCTTGTTAAAACAAGATTTCACCTCTGGCTTCTACACTGGATGTGAACAAGCTTTGGCAGGGTGTGTGAGGTTAACAAAGTCTCAGACCATCCCACAAAACCTGGCATTAACAGATGTAGAAGCTCCACATGAGTCATCGCCATCTTAACACTCTCAATTTTCTGGGTCTGGAGCCGAAGTGTACAAGATGATGTGTGAGGCCATAAAAACTGTTCAGCAATGGGATGAGATGACTTGGAACATTTCTGACCACACAGTTGAACCGAGCAGTGTGAATTAGCGGCTGGCTTGTGTCTACAGGCCGCTCTGTATTCTGTCATCCATTCTTCTACTGGCATTTAGTCAATAAGACAAATAATTCAGGAAACACCACACTTCTATGGCCCATTTTCCTCTGAAGTGTATATTTGATGGAGAGACTATTTGGACCTTTTGTAGGATTTGAGATGAAAGAGAAACTGGATAGTTAGGCTTTATAGTGTACCAGAAATACTCAACATGTTAAAAAGCTATTGTATGCTGTAGACAGGCAGCAGTGCAATGTGTTTTTTGTCCTCTTTCAGCCTGATTTAACTTTAAAACAAAAAAGCTGTTCTCTCATCGCCTTATTTATCCTCATTCCATATGTGCTGAACTAAAAATATAAACAAAAGAAGGAAAATGTAGTACACAATCAAACCCAGTAATGTAGTGTCTATTAACATGTGTTCAACTGCAAGCAATTATTGTTCTGCTGCCTGAAAGTTCACATATTTGGAGGCTGTGAACAGGAGATTATAAAGTTGCCTTAGCATCAGTGTATACATTTACTTGTTCTCTTGAAAAGGTTTCTGAAATAAATGAGTGTTGCCTGCTTGCTGTGAAGATTTCCCTTTTTTTAAATGCAGGGAGACTAAAATAATGGCCTGGAAAAGTTCCCTCCATCCTGCATTTATTGTATATTAGCACCGACTGCAGGATGTTTCAAAAGACACCTCGTGGGAATAGAATATTTGAAAAGTAAACCAAGGAAATGCAATATGTAGCACAGAGTTAAACCCTGGTTTTGATGGAGATGAGCGTTGGACAGGCGTAGGTGGGGAGTGCAAAGGAGAGAGTGACTCCAATATTTCCTTGGCAGCCATTTAATGACGTCTAAACTGGGATGGAAACTGTCTTGAGTTATCTGCTGATTGAAGAATGTACAAAATGTTAGCACATTTTCAGATGAATGCAAAGAATATCAGATGGAAGCACAAATAATTCATCAAGTCATCTCAGGATATGAAGGAAAAGAGGGGAGAAACAAAAAAAAGAAGAAGAAGGCCATCATCACCCTCATCCTGTCATTCTTTTTTATTGACTCAGACATCATTGCCAGCTTTGTAACAAAGGGCCTCCCTGTCCATGTGCTGTGGCCACTGGAGAAAGCCTCAGGGATCTGCTCTTCAAAGAGACCTTCAGAACCCTAATCCACTCCACCATGAAAGTTAGATGACTTTCACCATGCATGGTTGCAATTTTAATAATCATATCCTACTTTAGGCAAAATGAAGTCGATAGACATCAAGGAGGAAAAATAGGCCAATGTCAGAAATAATCTTGCTACTTGATCGGCCCAGTGGTGAGGTCTTCCCCCTCTGAAACCCCTTCCACTCTTCTGAGAGAAAACCACCTAAACACAGCTTAGGTTAAATTCATTTGGCTGCTTAAACAGAACATTTAAAGGGCGCTTCAGTAAGAAACGCAGCTGACATATGATGTACATCACCTCACACGTTTCTCCAAGCTGTAATCAGTCATGCCCAATTTCATTTGGTTTGACAGTTCCATAGTTATTTTGTTTGATTTTGCTGTCCGTGTGATATCACTGGAGCACAAAAGACCTTTGTTGTGTTGATTGAAATGTTATGTGGAATCATAAACATGCCATGTCTGCACAGGCATTCTTACATAATGTTGGTGTGCCTCTTTTTTTTCCTGTGGTCCAAAAGAAGCGCAGCTCTACCAGAAATAGGCACGCACTAAACCACTCAATTTCCTTGAAGTTGCAGACTGCAGTTTTAAGAAGTTAAAACTAAGAGTGTGTATATTTCAATGTTAGGGCCATTTAACTTACAATTCAAGTACATCAAAAAAATTATGTTCTTTTTCAAAATCACAACTGTGGCATGAGCGAATTGTTATGTCCAACCTATTAAACTGAGACTGAACTTTCAGTCATCATTAGCAAATGAACTGCAGCCTCTGTATACATGTTGAACTGCTTGAATTGACCGCAGCCCTGGTTTTGATCAGAGCTTTGGCAGCTATGGCAAACTGCTGCTTTGTATCCTTCAACCTTCATAATCACCATATTCTTAATTTCCTCAATCACTCAAGTAATGCTGGTCCAGGGATACTGCAAAGATGTGTTGACATGTAATATACAGTAATACAGAAATTCTTGAACCAACAAAGAACACACACTCAGACACACCCTTATCCTATCACATGGTCTGCAGGAAGCTTGTGCAGTGTTATCTCTAAGCAGCATCTCTCCAGGGATGAATCTAAAAGTATGCAGGGAGAGAGGAAGGGAAGTAAGGTTTTAATTTGGAGTCCTTAGGAGGCAGTCATGGACCATGTTCTGGACCCCTGGGTCTGACAAGGAGAAGGGATATCAGAGGTGAAGCCCTGACACTCGTGAGCAGCCACTACAGCCTCTCTCAGATCTTCAATCGAAAATAATCCAGTCTAAAGCATTATTCATACATGCTTTTCATGTACTCGGTAACAGTTAAATCAAAATATATTTCCCTCTAATGAGCAGGGTTAGGTCACAATAAGGGAGAACCGGAGATTCTAAATTGCTACCATTCTTTTCCTGGCAAAGTGCTCTGTGTGTGCAGACACATGCAGATACAAAGTATGTGTCAAAATCCAGAAGTGGGTAGAGTAAAATGAAACAAGGTGTGGAGTTATAGAGGAAAAGGTGAATCGGGTTAATAATGCTGTCAGGCTCTGGAATTAATAATTATATAAAGGTGTTTATATCTCGTATGTGTGTGTGTAGCTTTAGTTAACATGTGTGCAGACTCTCTTCCTCCTTTCCTTCATTCATCTGTCTTTGTCTTTGTACATGTACTACATGGAGTGAAAGCAAGTGGAGTTCATATATGAATTCATCTAGTTAACATAAAAAAGTAGTACTTGCTCAAGTCTCACCACATGTGATCATCTAAACAGGTCCAGGTGGGTCATCTAGAATCTAATTTCAGATTCATTAACAGTTGTTTATTAATTCACATCACTTCAGACTGAGGCCTATTTTCATAAACTTAAGTCAAGCTGTCACAGGTATCAGTACAGTAGTACAACCAAGTGACATGACACTGTTTCAATTATGTTCAACAAAGCAGATACTGACAGTCCGTTTAAGAAAGTGTAGTTTTACAAAAAATTGTGTAGTTGTTTTACAATTTACAGAAAAGCAAAGCCTGTATAGGAGTCTTCTCAGAAATATCATGAGTGCAATAAAGTGGATGTGTAAGTCCATGCTGAATTTACTCTTTACATTCCCTGAATTCATTGTTAGTATATTTTAGATTTTTTCATTAGAGAATATTTTCCTCCTCGTAAATACTTAACCTTGTAAATCATGTGTACCAGAGACAGCCCGAACAAAGCCGCTGCTTAGTGCCCCTCAGCCTGCAAGTTCACTGAGAAGCTTTCTTTGGGTTAGTTACTTGGGTCATAATTTAGGTATTTTAAGATACACTCTCCAAATCCCACATAAATGTAAACTGTTGGTTATAACAATAATAAAGTATTGAAGTGCAATTGGGCTGCATAACACAATCATCCTAAAGTTACAAAATGTCCTTGTATTTTTTTTCACATTAAAATGATGTACTCATGCTATTTGCAGTCATTCCAAGGTTTCAACATTTACTCAGAATTTGTTATTAATCAGTTCTGCAAATAGTTGTACATCACTACAATAACTTCTAACCAAAAAAAGAGACTCTTGTTCATTCTTGACTATTGAAACAGTAGTTGACAACAAATTTCAATGGCAACTACTAAATAAATATCACCATAATTTCCATTTATTAGCCGCTCTGAATCTTTCAATCAGAAGACCATCCAGGTGTGGGTCCTGCGCACTTTCAGTTCAGCTAAATGCATTTCTCTCAAATTCAAACTCAAATTCCATTCAAACGTCGCTGCCTGCCCTCTGACAGTCCCTGTCGTGAACACAGGGTGGCGACACATGGCCAATCAGAGCCATGTGTCTCCTGTGGGCACAAGTCTCCCTAGTGAAGTTTGTAGGAAGGAGTGCGCTCAGTTGGAGAGACAGACAGAGAGGGGGAAAGTGAGTTGGGCTCCGGCGAAGAGGAAAAAGACAGAAACCAGGAGACAAATTTCTTCCAGACTCTCACTTTTTTTTTTACCAAGAGGTTTGTAGTGCGCTTTCAAAGCGCAGCGGAAAACAGCACACGCGTTATCAAGAATCTGTATTTCGAGTGGTTCATTTTTGGAAGGGCTCAAAATTAAATTTTGAGTGTAGTGGATGTGAAAAGCGGGCTTCGGTTTAACACAGAGCCGGAGGAATGTATACAATGCAGGCAGCGGCAAGCCAGCTTCTCTGGAGATATCCAGCCTGCGCTCTCTGGATGGCCCTGCTCCTCCAAAGTGTCCTGGACCTCAGCGCGTCTGGTATGTCTCAAAAGTTTTTCTTTTCCTTTTCTTAGTAATCATTCGTCTTTTCCCTGTTTCTCTGCTAGCTTTAATCTGGTGTTCATCCCAACACGCGCGAATTAAACATGTAATCTGTCAATTACAGACGAAAAATCCTTGTTGGGACTTTCAGCATGTGCCTGGCATGCTCAGTAGTGGATATATAGTGACTATATCGCACTTTAAAGACAGTTTAAGTCATCAATCATTATATTCATATCGGGTAGTATATTTTTTAAGACCACTCTATTTGTTTTTCGATCCTTGAATAATCTCAAATGTTAACAAACTTGTTCCTTCCATACAAAGCAGAGCTGTTTGCCATCATTCATCCTCCACTCTCATGTAAATGATCTTTGGTTTGTAGATTATTGTCCTATTGTCACTCTGAAGCCTCTGCATGGGGAAAGACTTGACTCCATTGGCAGACAAAAGGTGGGCTCTTAACTAGTCAGCTGGATAGCTATTGTGTCCCCAACCAACCCCCTCAATAATTTAGGCCAATTTAAAGATAAGAGATACATGAAGTCTTAATTAAAAGGCAAACAGTTGTTAACCATTTAGGGTTGACTGATGGTAAGAGAGTAGTGGCATAAGATGCATGGACAACCTTTGGGAAAATAGGCCAGCCTGTGGCCTCTAGGAAACAATACTGCAATTAGTCTTAACTGCCTTTAAAAAAACAAACACTTACATAAAGCATCAGTTTATTTGTCTGTACACTGTGATTTTGTTTGTTTTTGCTCATTCAACAATCTTAGGAACTATATATTCACTGCCATTAACTGTACATGGCTGAGTGTATGGTATTGACATCTTAAAGAAAGGATGTCCTGATGGTATATGTAACTGGCTTTTGGTTGACTAATATAAGAATGATTGAATTCAGTTTGAATTGTTTATGAAGCCACTTGTGGAAAGCGCTTTTTTCTGTCCTGTGGCTTTTGAGAGTACAGTAAGTATAAATTAATCCTCCCTGCCTAGATGGGTAGTGATGAATTATCTCCGGATGGTTTTGGGGGGTTTGTTTGGATTATCCCTGTCCTCCTTAAATGCTTTTGGCTGTTATTTACAATGGAGTTGTACAGTATATTCTGTGTTGAATGTAAAGCTTTTTGCTATGGCCCTTCTCTTGCCATACCTTGTTCTCTTCCTTGCTCGTAGGCAGGAAGGAATGTTAATCCACATTACTTAACTGGATGAGTTAGCCATAACGTCTTTAAATGAAGTTTCATGATTGAAAATTGAATGGAGGAGAGCCAAGCCCCTACTTCTGCAGCTACTTCATATCAGGAAATATAAAAGTGGGATTAATTGCATCTTTTTTTTTCATGTTAGATGCACACCTTGGAGGCAAAATCTACCCTGAAAATTAAATTTTATATGCTAATACTGTTATTCATGAAGTTAAACTGATTTGCTTTTGCGCTCTCTTTTACTGCTGGAAAACCAGAAAACTACTAAAAAAGCTTCCACCGCTGTCTGAGATGACCTTTTCTTTAAATCCAAGTAAGCGTAGCGTCACTGTAGCCTTAACGGTTATGGACAAGAACATGACATCCATTAAGATGCTTTGTACATCCATTGCATCCACAAACCTGACCTCCTATTCACCGCAAATGAAGCAGTTCCAGAATATGTTCATGGATGATATCAATGGAAGTCTTGTCTCTCCTCTGGCTCGCTGTAATGGGAATGGTCAGAGAGGAACAACTGTGGTTCAACTGTAATCAAATGTGAAGAGAAGAGTGCAGTGCCCTGTGATCAGTGGCCAGTGGATATAATATGGCTGAATTATAAAAGCAACTGATGTGACAGCCATGGCTGTCTTTATTTGCTTATTTGCTGTTTAATGGTCAGTCTATCAGCTTCCAATCTGAGGTCAGAGGTCACTGGTCTGTCACTGTGGTTCATATGCTAACATTTCCAGGAACAATCGGGTTTCCCTTGGCCACAGCAAAGCAAGTCTGCCAAACAATAAAAACATATATGCATGCATAGCTTATGTATTTTAAGGAAGGCTCACAAAATACAGTCCAAATAACATACAGTACCCTACTGAATTTCTTTAAAAACCTAAATAAATGCAACACTCCTTCAGTAGTTACATGCTCACAAAAACCCTAATTAATGTAAGTGATCAGGTCAAGGCAGGAAATTGGATAATGGGTTTGTACTTGTGTTTGTACTTAACAAGTTTACACGCACTTTTGTCAGCTTTCAGATTCTTCCCTCCCCTTGCCAAAAACAGCTTAGGCGTCACTGTCATCCTTCTAAACAAGGTTGGAATCATGTAGAACAGATCATGAGATTTTATTCTTATGGATTGCAAATCCCAGCTGTCCTCCTCCTGGAGGTCTTTTCCACTTATTTGTGCACAATTGAAAAAACTGAAAAACCCACACAAAGGTTGATATGAGTTGACCTATTTTTTTTTCCAGCAGGAATCTAGCTGTGCCAACTGCGTTTATTCAACTGAACCCAGGTTTTGCAGCATGGAAATCAGATTTCTGCTAAAAGTGCAGAACAATCAGATTACCATGGTGCCAAGTAAATTCACCTTTTATTTAAATATAAGATAGGTGCAGCATCTTTTCAAAATAGTCACTGTCATTCCATCTGTAGCCCATGCCCTTTAGCTCCAAAGTAATAATCTGTGACATGTTCATAAAAATAAATTGACAACACTGTTTTCAAACTATATAAACTGGAAATGTTTCTGAACATGGGGCATTCACCTCTGAACATAAAAGGTCTTCTGCAGGGCAGCAACTATGTGAAATCTGTTTAGAGTTTCATTTAGCCTTTTAATAACACTCAGGAAGGCTATAAATCATGTTGGGTGGAACTGCCTCAGTGCAGTTTTCAACAGGACACACTGTTGACAGTAAAGGCACTTCACTCCTGGAAAAAATCCTCGTCCTACAGGCTGAGTGTGTAGGAGCTGTGTCCTGCTCTCCCTGCTACTGAGATGTCTGTACTGTTATATGCCTTCTGCCGTTTTCTGAGATTCATATTAAAGGAGCAATTTACAGGGAGGTGAAAGAGATGTCAAGTAGTAGCACTTTCTTCATGCATCCTTGTAAAATATGTGCAAATCAGCCACTCCTTCTAGTGATTTTTAGTTTGCTCAGTGCTTTTCATCATTGCAATACTGCTATAATTTCTCCTTTTTATATGTGACTATATTCAGTGTATCTATAGTTTATCCAGATTCTCTGGGACATGTTGGGCTCCATCATGGTCTGAGTGGTGCATACTCTTTCAGATAGATGATTCTGCTGTGTCTATTTCTGGGAGGAGGAGGTTGATTTTTCAAAACTTTTGTGAACTTGGTGTGAAATGGTAAGAAAGTCATGGACATTCATTTATTCAGCACATAGCCATAAATCATATACTCCAACTCTGTTTTATGTCCCTGATTTAAAACATTGGTGTGTAAACCACGTCAATTACCTACTTCCTACTTGTTATTAAACACATGTGTTTGCCAGGGCTTAGTGTGTCTCTGTGCTGCCATGGGGCAAACTGTTTGGAGAATATTGTGAGCTAATTGTTTAATTGATGTACAGCCAGCGGGCGATTTACTTTAAATTATATAAAAAGTATCGAGATCAAATAAGTACCGTTCAGTGCTTATTTTTTTCTGAACTGAGTTTTTCATCACTCTCTTATTTAAGTTTTGTTTCCAAAGCAGGACTACCTCATTGATTACTACAGAATTCACAAGATATGATCCTTATGGTGTGTGATGCCAGTAAATGGTACAGTTGTTTTCCATTGAGTTGCTGGCTGGAATGTCCTGATAATATATTGTCAATGCTTGAGCCCGATTTAGGTTTTCTTTTGTAGGTCTACTCTCTGCCAAGCCAGGGAAAAGCCTTTCTGTGAATGGGAAGAAGTACTCTTTTCCTGCATTTGTGTAATATTGGCAGAAAAATGCTCTTATTTCCACAAATCAGACTCTGTGGAGCATGCTTGTTTTTTAGCGGTCAGAGTCCCTCAGAGAGGCAACGTTTAATCACAGGCTAAACACAGTTCACTCAGATCCTCGTCAGAGACGTTTGATAAAGTTTTTGCCACTACAAACTGTAGCCAAGCGTGAAAACCCCTTTCCTGCAATTTACTGTCTACACAGGAGGTCAGTCTGTTAGAGAGAGAGAGAAATTCTCTGTAGGGTTCAAGGAAATGCAGCACTGGATTAACAAAAGCAACGAAAAACAGTAGTTCAGGTTTTATCAGGCAGTGGAGAAGCCAGTGTACAGATGTGTCACCTCAGTGAGTCTGGGCTGAGTGTAGAAATAAGCTACAGCAAAGAAGCATACATTTTTGTCAAGTGTAATAATAGACAAAAATTATATTTGCCCCTTTCCATGTTCTGTTTGCCCGACTACAAATTAAATCGCTTTCTATACATTCTATTCAATACTTTCTATGTTGTAGGCTGTCTGGAAGACAAATTACGCCTACCACTTAAAAAAACTTCTCTGCTGTACTTTATACACACCATACAATGAGTCCTTTGCTGCAGTTGTAAGGCAAGCTGTAAGTACAAGAGTGTGCTGATCACAAAGTGACACTTTAATGAGTCTAATGGAATAAGCCATACATACTGCATATCAATTTCCCATATAGACTTGGCACGGGTTGATGTTGAGGACTGCAGGGAATAGCACTGCCTTAAAGACCTCTAAATTTCATTGAGACCACTCTTCATTGTTTTATCAAATTACTGCTTTGCTAGCATCCTCCATGGCAAGCTTTGCCCTGGCTTAATATGTCAAGATCATGCTACATTTCATTTAATAGGGAGTAGGATGAAACATGATTTTTTTTAAAGTCCCTATATGTGTCAGAGTAAATCTTTTTATATCCTGTTTGCATTGCATTAAGGACTTCTGCCCCCACTGCAAGCAGATGGGCAGATCTCTGTCAACCCACAATTACGTCTTTATACACCACACTCCATCCAAGGTATT